TCAAGCTTGGGGATTGTAAAAATAGAAAGACATACTGGTTATGAATAAGTGTCACCTTTTTCTTAAAGCCTGTCAGTGGTTCCCCATGCTTTTCTGATTAAATCCCTCTCACTACAACCAGGCTCCTCATGGACTGGGTCCTGCTCCTCCTCCGTACATTCTTCTTGAACCCTATGTTCCAGCCAAGCCAAAGAGTTTGCAATTCTCCCGTCATGCACTTATTTTAGATGCCTCAGTGCTTTACTTGCATACATTCTGAGCTCTGGGATGCTATTCTCAGCCCTAACCCACCAGCACCTTCTCATATACCTGAGGCTAGCCTCCTCTGGAGAACTTGTACCAATACCCATTTCAAATCATCCCCACCCTCATAGGGAAATGGCTACTCTCTCTCTCTCCCAGCCTTGCTTACTCCATGTAGATCATTATCATGGTGAATATAACATTTAATGCAGTCGTTCATTTATAGGTCTGTCTTCCTGTGCTATACCATGGGGCGCAGGGGCAAAACCTTTGTCTTATTTATGTAGCATGACGTTAAGACCTCTGGCTCGAACCGTGTGACCTGGGACAAGATATTTAACCTCTTCTAGGTCAGTTTCATCTTCCATACAATGAGAATAATAATAGTCTCTTGTCCTAGAATAGTTAGGAGGAATAAATGAAATAATGTGCGCAAAGTGCTCAGAAAGTGTCTGACACACAATCGACAATTAAGTGTTTGAAGAGAGGAAGTACATAAGCAGTAACAGTTGTTCGGTGGTTTAAAGGTTGAACATTTAAGGTCAAGAGTTGACAAGACTGATAAAAATCCTAATCCCAAATGTTTATTTAGAAAGACGCATGAAGAAGTTGAGTGATTGGAAAAAAGAACAACATCAAGAACTTCTTTTGGTATGTGTGTCATTTTGTAGTCAAAATATTTCCCAGGGCTTCCCAGGTTTCAACTTTCTGCCATAAACTCTTCCACTCCCTTCAGAGCCAGCCTGACCAGGCTACAGAGGTCCTTATAACTAAAATATCGTAGTCATCATAGGAAACAAAAACAAAAACTCAAGGAAAGCAGTCAGAAAGGTTTATTGCAAGAGGCTTCAATACCAAACCACTGGAGGATCCTCAAGCTTTAAAGAATGTAATATGGTCCTGCTATAGAACCGGAGATACTTTTGAGTACTTTTTCTATACTGCCCCACTTACACCAAATTTTGGCAAACTAGACTCCTTGCTGGAAGTTAAATCAGAAAGTAACCCTTTCTAAGTCAGCTTGGCCTGGATGTGGATTCTTATTTTACATGAATAGATGCTTGCTATTTTCAAGGTGTGCAGCTGCTTGTGCAGTGAAGACAAAACGTGATGTGATGCATACACATCGTCTCTTATGAGGCAAAATTCACTGCAGTGGTCATTGCCTGAGTCCTCCTGGTCTGCACCTGATTCTTGCACAGTCCCGTTAAAGCTGACGCCAAGCCCAGCCTCAGGGGTGGGGCTTGTGACCCAGGCCTGTGCCATCAGCATGTCTCATTTCCCTGTCCACTGACGTTCATGGATCTCATGTAGCCTAGTCAGAGCCAAATGAAATGCAATGATATTTTTCCTGAGTCTTCCGGGAAGGAGACTCTCACTCATAACCTCTGACCTAAAACATAAGAGAATGAATCGAGTTAGCAGGGACCTTTCTGGTACCCATAAAACTTAAAGCTGAAGTCAACATAAAGAAAGCCAGAACAAAGAAATAGAGATAAAAAAATAAGCAGGTGCTACTGATATGCTTGAGCATCGACTAGAGTTGTTCCTGAGGTTAGCTCTTTTGGCTTCTGAATCAGTAAATTCCCCTTTTGACTAAGCTAGTCTGGGTTGGGTTTTTCTGTAACTGCAACTAAATAATCCCAACTGGCATTCATCAAAGCCACTCTTTCCAAACAGGAGCTCCATACTGTGATTCCCGAAAAAAGATAACTGGTTTCTCTAGAGAACTCATATATGAATGAATCAGGGCATATTCAAGAGAGTAAGTGTCTGGGTAAGAAAATCTCTCCTTTGGGGATGCCTGTGGTTCACATTTCTGTGTGGGCCAGGAAACTCGTATAAATTTCACCTGTTGACACATTTCCTTTGCAAGCATTTTGCTATTTCAGGGGGAGGAGCCGGAAACAGAGGTGGAGAAGGGAAGGCGTGAGGCAAAATATGAATGATTATGCAGGAAGCAATATAGCTGATGGCCTTTCAGCAAAGGGCTGGCATGTGGGTACATGTGGTGTGAATTCACAGTGGAGGAACTAATCCGGCAACATTATCTGATCTGGAACAACAAGAAAAAGAAAGAGTCTCTTTCCTTTTCCTCTGATTTGATATGTCTAAAAACCTTTACCAAGGTGACAGGCTGGTAATGAAAGTATCCAACCAGACACTTTGACTTTGGATTGTTCTAAAGTGGGGTCCTGGGATCTGTGTTATTTTCCAGGGACTATTTGTCATTTCATTTTCAGAACGAAGCTGGATTTTGGTTCTATAAAAACAAGGCAGGTTCTGGATTGAAAACAAAAGTCAAACATGCTGATGCTTGAAGATAAAGAAGTATGGAGTTGCACAAATTCTTCTGAGTAATAGAGGCTGGTCTCAAGCCTGGGGCTGAATAGACTGTGGGAGCAGAACCAGAGTCTGTGAGGTTATTTCTTCTGTGAAAAGAAAAAAGCCCGAAGCAATAATCTGAGTAATCTAAGTCCAAAGCTGCTCCCATGGAAAGCAGCGGAGCTTGCAGGAAGGGGCTTAGACTTTGGTAGCAGGACTGGTTACATAACTTGCTTCCATCCCTAATTGGCTCTGTGGCCATAGATAGGTTAGTTTTCCTTCCTGAATCTGTTTCCTCATCTGTAAACTTCAGTTAGGTTCCTGAAAGAAGTAAGTTAGTTGAATTATATTAGGAGTCTATGGCCCATAAAAACTCAAATAAATGACAATTGCCCTATTTCACTGAACTTGGGGAGACTTACACTGAGGGTGGGGCTGCAGGTACCTGGACATGGAGACCTTGTACTTATTTGGCAGGCAGAGGGGCCAAAGTTCAGTTTCATCTTAATGTGATTTTTTTTTTTGTGGAATATCAACAGAAAAATACCTATTTGAAGCCAAATTTCTGCATTTCTGTAGATTCTTCTAAGCTCAGCAAAATTTTGTCCCTAAGCTGCTGAACAACCAACTCTATAACTTCAAACTGGGTGGGCATAAACTTAAAAGATTTTCATTGGACCATCTGTTTCTCAAGAGCAAGAATTGAGTCTTATTCCTCTTTTTAGGTAAGATGCGTAGCCCAGTGCCTTAACTGATTGCTCAAGAAATTTTTATTCTCTTGTCTAGAAAAGTGAATTCATCCTTAGGACAGCCAAACTGAACTTCTGTTGGAATGTGCTCAAAGTGGGAAGGAAGGAAGAAGAAGGAGTAACTCTCTTTGTATATCAGTTAGGGTAAGGTTAAGCTGCTGAGGGGTAACAAAAAGACCCCAAAATTCAGTGGCTTCAAAGAAGAAAGAAGTTTATTTCTCTACCATGCCACAGTTCAAAGGTGAGTAAACCTGCTATACAAGGTCATTCTGAAATCCTCAGGGCACTGTCTTCACCAGCATGATCAAAGCTGGATCATTGGCTTGAGGACATAAAAGAGCCTGGAGAAGAACACACACTGTTTTAAGGACTTATTCCAAAAATAGCACACTTCACTTCTACTCATGTTCCATGAGCAAGAACTCAAGTCATATTACCCAGCAACGGGAGAGGCTGTAGAAGGAATGCATATTCATTAAGAGGATTAAAGATGAGCCACATGATATTTGCAAGGCATATATTTGACAAAGGTCTTGCATAGGAATATATAAAGAACTATCAATACTCAATAATTAGAAAACAAACAACTTAAAAACAATGAACGAAAGATTTGAACAGCCACTAAAGAATATAAACAGATGGCAAATGAGCACATAAAAACATGCTCAACATCAGGAGTCATTAAGGACATACAAGATACCACAACACATCTATTAGAATGCCTGAAGTTACAAAGATAGACTCTATCAGTTGTTGGTGAAGACATAGAGGAACTAGAACCCTCATACATTGCTAGTGTATAAATCCAAAATGGTACTGCCAAATGGAAACAGTTTATCAGGTTCTTCAAAAATTAGATGTATACCTACTGTATGACTCAGTCTTTCTGTCCCCAGATATTTACCTAACCAAAAAAAAAAAAAAAAAGCATATGTTCCTACTCAGACTTATACATAAATGCTCATTGCAGTTTTATTTGTAATATCCAAAACCTGAGAACAACCAAATGCCCATCAAAAATTGGAACAGATAAACAAATATTATAATACCATCTGATGAAATATAACTCAGCAATAAAAAGGAATGAGCTCTTGAAATATACAAACAGGATGGATGAATCTCAAAATAAGAGTGAAGAAAGGCAAATCAAAAAAAAAAAGAGGGGAGGGTGTATGCAGTATAATCCCATTTATATAAAATTGTAGAAAATGCAAATGAATGTACTGTAATAAAAAGATCAATACTTGTCTGGGGAAGAGGAGGTAAGGCAGAAAGGGACAGAGATGGGGAGAACTACAAAGAAGTACAAAGAAACTTTATGGAGTAATGGATGTATTCTATATCTTGACTGTGATGATGTTTTCGTGAGTGTAGAACACTTCACTTCATAAATGTGTACACTTTTTAAATGTGCAGTTTATTGTATGTCAAGTCTACCTCAATTTAAAAAGTATATGCCCTTGGGGAGCCTGGGTGGCCCAGTGGGTTAAGCGTCTGACTCTTGGTTTTGGCTCAAGTTGTGATCTCAGGCTTGTGAAATCAAGCCCCACATCAGGCTCCATACTCAGCATGGAGTCTGCTTGGGATTCTCTCTCCATCTCTCTCTGCCCCTCTTCCCCCACCCCCCTCTCTTTCTCAAATAAATAAATAAATCTTTTTGCAAAGAAGTATATGCCGTTTATTTTTAAGGATAATTACACAGAATTTGCTGTATCCAAATAAGTATCCTCCACATACAGTTTCTTTGTGTTACTTTGACATTAAATTCTGGGAGATGCTGGACCAGAGGAAGGGAGACTATGAAAAGAAGATTCCTGTTGATAAATAAGACTTAAGGGAATAAGCTACAGTTCTAGGCCCAGCTTCTTGCTCATGTGCTTCTCAAACACCAGCCAAGTTTCCATCTCTGGTCCAGATTCCATACAGTGAACAACCCCATCCGCACAATCCTAGTAAAGTCCCCACCCACTACCAATCCGCAGCACCTGGGACTTTGCACCCCAGCCTCAGCCCCGCCTTCCAGACCGCACCTTGCCCTTAAACCCTGCTGGCTCTTCAGTTCAGTCCACTGGCCAAGTTTCTAGCTAGGCCAGTGCTAACCTGGCCCACTGGGTCATTTCACTTTCCCTGACCTTCCCAACAGCGTGAGAAAAGCTCTCGTATCTGCATCACACTGAAAAATTGCTGAAGACATTTCCCCAGAATTTTAGGTAGCATCAATGGGACTGTCTCTCCCAACACGCCTTCCAAAGGTAGGTTCCAGTCTAATCCCTTTTGCAGTGGCATGCTCCTTGCCAACAGCGTGGCACATTCATTTGGGCGACACTCTGGAATCTTCCTATGTGAAAGGCTGAAATATATAAAGGCATCATAAAGGAATTCTAGAGGGCTTGGGCGGGATTATTCTAAGAATTTTATCCATCCACTTCAAGAAATTTCTTCTGTTGATCTTTAGGATTACTACTGAAACAGCCAAGGCTTTTGCTGATTTATCCCAGAATATCATCCTTGTTGGTGCACAGTCGTGCAGCAGAATTGCCAATGCAAAGGGTTTTGTTTTTTTTTCCTCTGACTGGCTCAAAGTGGGATACCAGAACTAAGTTAGAAATAAGCCTGATAAGAATGAGAAGATTTAAGGATTATAACTGGTTCTCATAAACTCAGTTCAGGAGAGCTGGGGGAAGTGACTCTCATCTTCTAACATGTACCCAGGCAGAGCCCAAGCACAGAATGTACAAAACATCCTCCATGTAGAGGTGAGATTTTTCTTGGAAGGAGGGAGGGAGAAAGAGTGTGTGTGTGTGTGTGTGTGTGTGTGTGTGTGTGTGTGTGTCCATGTGTCTGTGTGAAGTATGCTCGGGTTAGCTGAGCTTGATCAATGGAAACTGTGCTAACAGGAATAAAGAGACGCTGATGAATCAAGGGAATATGTGAGAGAAGAGAGACAGGGCATAGAAAATGCCAGAGGTGAGCTAGTTGAATTCTGGGACAATGAGATCGGGGCTATCCTGTTGCCCGAAAGCCTTACCTCTTGGGTTCCCGGAGCAGAATCTGCAAAAACAGACTGCAGAAAAGCCTTTTCTCCAGCCAGAATTCTTAGTAGGCAGTCATGTGGGGGTAATTGCTCCTTTGTCTGGCTCCCACTCAGCCCCTCTGACTTCTGCCTGAATGGAGAGAACTATTGTTGCGGCTGGAGCTCGGTAAAGTCAGTGGGGTCGGAGACAGGGAGCCTCCCTCACCGAGGCACCGCCGTTCTCACAAAGGCCCAGGGGTCTTACCTTTCTTTCCCTGTGTGGACAAAGGCAGGAAGGAAACTGGAAGTGATTGATGTCTCACCGAAGTCAGGCACTGTGCTAGGTGATTTCTCCTTCAGTATCTAACCTAACTCTGACAATGCCCCCAGGAGACAGGACTTCTCAACCCCGTTTTCAACAGAATAAGGGGCCACGGAGAACAATTTACAGAATAGTAAGCCTTAGAAAGGTTAAACAAGTTGCAGTAACTTCACAGCTAACTCTATGGTGGGCTGGAGCTTTGTTTCCCCACCTGCCCGAGTGTGGGAGCTGACTCACCGGCGGTAGGACGTTATGACAGTCAGGTACCCGGTGATGAATGATATCCAGGTCTTCCAGAAAGACAGGGAGGGAGACATCTTGATTCTGTCTGCTTCAGGCCACTAGAATATTTTGGTGTGGAGCCCCTCATTTTCAAATGATGTACAAGAAAACAAGATCAAGTCAACTCCTTTCGCTACAGACTCTTTTCTTTTTTTCATTTTTTGAGAGGTTACTTTAGACCAAGATTTTAAGATGTTTCATTCGAGTCTAGAAGCCAACGAAATAAAAATAGAAAAGCAGAACTGAGTAGAAAATAAAGGAAATTAATTTAATAACAGATTTTGTTCAGTCTCTCTGGGCCTGCCCCAGTGAGTATCCCCAAACAGTCTAGGAGTGAGAGCACAACCACTGCTGAGTAAAAAACCTCTTGATTATGGCTACAGAAGGCAGAAACTATTATATGTGTATCCAACACTGGCACACCCCTAAACTACACTTCCCAGCCTCCCTTGTGATGCGGGGTGTGGCCACGGTCCAGCATCAGTCCTGCTCTGGTCAGTGGAAAATGAGCAGAACTGATGTGTGTCAATCCCAGGTCATAGAACCACATGCAATCCCCCATGTGCCTTTCTCTTCCAAGCGGGCAAGAATGAGTCAACTCTGGGGACTGTCTTGGGAGCCACGAGATGGAAGAAGCTCAGGCCCTTGACTCACATTGTGGAGGAGAGCTGCTGGACGAGAAGTATCCGCCTTGGACAGTTACATGTCACGATAGAAACTTTTACATGCAAAGCTGCTGAGATGTGGGGATTTCATTGTGATGGCAGCTAGCACACCCTTAGCTAATAGACCAGAGCCCTCGTTCCACTCACCTTCCCAGAGATCATGATGTGAGCCCCAAAGCACCAGAGCCCCGAGAATGAAAAGTACATTCCCAGGGAGACAGGCCCATCTACCTCTGAGCCTCCAGGGTTTTCCTCACCTTCAGTGTCTGTCCCACCTACAGAAGTGTGGAGAGATTTTGGAAAACATTTTCTGCATATGATTTAGAAAGCAGAATTCAGTTGTGCCACCAAGAATATACTTCATGGAATGATAAAGCCATAAAGGAAAACATTTGTTTTCAGACTGATTGTGGGAGAAAACCCAAGTAAGTGAGCAAAACAAGAGTGAACGATAGGGTTTTTCTGTCATTTTATTGCAGTAAGTAAAAAGTAGGCAAAACCACCACCGCCTGCCAGAAATCCTCAAAAACTTGCTTTTGTAAATACAGAAGATTTATGTGTACCCGGAATCAACTGTTTGGGTGCAATGTGACATTTTAAAGTGCTTGACAGCTTTTAAGACAGTTTTTCCTTTAAACACATTAAATTCACCCTTCCTACAAATGTGTTTAGTCTGGTAAACTCTACCTGTAATTATCTAAGCAACAAGTCAGTTGCGTTTCAGTTTCTGTCAAATACTACAAATTTCCACTGTGTGGCACTACGTTTAATGAGGATTATTAAACCCATATCCTTCCTATTCCATGACGGGGGTGAAGTCTGCGGTTGGAAGGAACTCTCAACCACAGTCAGGTGATGAAAGGGTGGATGTGAAAGGTGTGTCTTCTCCAGGAACAAAAGAAATCCTGAAAGAGAAGGAAGCAATGAGGTGACAGCTTGAGAGGAAAGGATTTACCCCAAGACCTCCGGTCCCCAGCTACTGCAAGGCTCTCTGAAGGCTTGATCGGTGTGCGAAGCGTAGGCAACCAGGGATTATCACCGGAGCATAATTTCTGTTGGTCAGGGTGCAAAAAGAGAAGATCGGGGCTCTCCCCAGGTAAACTCACGCACCTGCCCAAGTACAAGAAAGCCATGAGACGGTCTGACTACCCTATCTGCGCACAGAGCCAGAAGATGTGTAAAAACAAATTGCTTTCCCTTTCAGCACACGGGGAAGACACCCACAGGTGACATACTGGACCTTCAGAGCCAAAAGCCAGCATAAGAGGACGGGTGTCTGTTCCAGGTGTCTTTAAGGCACTGCAATTTGTGCGGAGCTGGCCCTTTAAAAACAGCTCTAGACCAGATCAACCTCGTCCAGCAGAATTATTCAGTTTGTTTTAGCAACAGCTTCCCATGCCCTGGTCTCCCATTACTTCATCTGCATTCCCCAGATGCTGACCCTGTCCCCCTCTAAGCCCACAGCATTCCCCCCACGCCCCCGCCCCGCCGTGGCTTTCATAATCTCCTAGGGAACTCCCAGTCCTGAGCCCTGGCGGGCCCCACAGGATGCCACCTCTTGGGTCACGGGTGGAACCTGATGCCCTTCCCCAGCTTCTCTGGTTGCAATCCTACCTGCCCCAGATTTCAGGCCTGCGTCAGAGGCTGCTACAGGAGGAGGCAGGGAGGTGACCCTGTTTGGTCCTTCTCCGGGCTGAACGCCTCCATACAATTTCAGACAGCTAAGAATAGTCCCGAACCCAGGGGTCACTTAGTAAGGTTGCATTTAGAGGGTTGCGAGGCCAGGACTGGCAGGGTCTCTGACCCTAGCTCGGTGGTCTTTGCATGACCAGTGAGTCAGCAACATGTCCTTCTTCATACTCTCTGCCACTGTTGAGTAGCGGGCTTCAGGAACATAGTTAGAGCACCTTTGGATGCAAGAGACAGAAGGCTGATTCAAACTGGCTTAAAATAGTTTATTGGCTAGGAAATAAAACAGAGTCCAAAGGAGTAGCAGGACTTAGCAGAGCTGCATCCAGAGCTGGTTCAAGCGCTCTTGCTGGGGACTCTCTCTCTCTCTCCACCTTAGAAAGAGTGAATGCACACGACAAGCAAGATGTCTGTGAGGGGGCATGACTTACATCCCAACACTTAACATCTCAAGAGAGGGGGGCCAGCTCCTGGAGAAAATGTCTGGAGGGAAGTCCCATTGGCCCCGTCCAGGTCACGTGCTCATCTCTGAAACCAGTCACAGTGATTAGCCGGACCTGAACCCATAACCGCCCCCCCCCCCCGCCCCCGGTGGCTAAGGTAGGGGCCGGGAGCTGCAATCAAAGCGTATTGGAGGATTTACTCTGCAGAAAATGCGGCTCGACAGTAGCCTTCACTTTGCTATGACCAGTTGTCATTTTCAGACCTTGCCTTAGCTGCCATGGATAACCATTCCCTCCTTGAAACACTGCATCTACCGTCCAGCGTCCCGCATTCTCCTGGTTTTCCTTTTCACCGAGCCTTTTATTCCCAGCCTCTTTCCCTGGTCTTCCTCACCTCCCTGGTCTCCTCATGCTGCAGCCCCGAAGCTCAGGCCCGACCTCTCTCTCTCTCTGCTGCCTTCCGCCTACACTCCGTTGGTAATCTCATTCTGTCCTGTGACCTTATATGGCATCTATTCACGGTGGATACCAAATTTATATCTGACTGCTTCCTCTCAGGAGCCCCAGACTCCACGTGGAGTCCTCCCCCAACGTGGATGACCAACAGGCATCTCAAATACACTGTTCCAGCACTGAGCTCCTGATCGGCCCCCCAACCCCTTCTCCTTGCCATTAATGCAGTTGCTCAGACCAGACGACTCAAAAACATCTTTGTCTCCACTCTTGCTCATATGCCACGTCCAGGTGATCAGCAAATCATGGCATTCCACCTTCGAGTATAGACTCTATTACTCACCTCCTCCACCATTTCCAGTCTGGGCCAAGTCATAACATGCCTCACCAGTATGATCACAACCGCCTCCTAACTGGGAGCCCGTCCTTGACTCGTTCCTCTTTCTGTGTTCACTCAGCTCAGCAGTCAGAGTAAACCTATGAGCATAATCAGACAATGACTTCCTCTGGTCAACACCCTGAAGTGACCCTCGGCTTACTCAAAATAAAATTCTTACGAGTAGTCTGCAAAGCCCTACACAGTCTCCCCGCACCACCCCCTATTTCCTTCCTGACAGTCGACTGCCCTACCCCACTCCATCAGTTCCAGCCACACAAACTTCCTTGCATTCCTTCCATTCACCAAGCACGATTATGCCTCAGGGTGTTTGCACTTGCCATTCCCTCTGTCTGGAGCCCTCTTCCCCCAGATGTCTACATGGCTTCCTTACTCGCGTCCATCAGATTTTTAATTAAATCCCTTCTCCATGAGACCTTCACTGACCATCCCAATCTAGAACTGCAAACCCCTTCCAGACTCACACGTCTTGTCTTCCTTCACTGCTTTGCTTTTTCTCCATCGTAGTGATTATATTCTAACACACCTATTTTTAAATATATTTTTAACTTATTTATTTCGTTTAATTTTCCCTTACTTATTTTAGTCCCTGTCTGTTTCCCCAGCACTCGACTCTGCTGGGGGAGGGGCTTTCGTCTGTGTGTTCAGTGCTGTAACCCCATCACCTCAGCAATTTAAGGAGTGAATAAAATGGAGTGACTTTCTCAGTCTTCCACTCTGGCCCCCACGCGGGTGTGGTAACCTTCAATCTCTCCTCTTGTCTCACCCTCTCAGTCTCCTTTGCCAAGAGTCCGAATGCGGGGACCAGGAGGCCGCACAGAATTACTACAAGATGGCTGCCTGTGACCAGGAAAGGTGAGGCCAGACCCCAGAGGGGCATGTGGGAGGGTTGGACAGCAGGGAAAATGGGGTGGGCTGTGACATTCGAATCATGGGAGGGGGCCCAGTGGGCAGCAGCTAGACCGGGGCCTACAGTCGTGGGCGGGAAACTGCATGGCCTCAGTCCTTTGTTAGGTTGGTACAGGGCAGATGCCAGGTCCAAGCAGGGCAGACAAGGGGACAGAGATCATGAGGCACGCTGAGGTCAAAATGGATAGGGGCCAGAACACAATGCCCAGCAAGCTCTGTCACGGAGGCAGGCACTCTGTCACTCTTCCCAGGGCTGACGTGAGCTCTTTGAAGAGGCCAGGCTCTCCCAGCAGGGCTTCGTCTTCTCTTACCTTAAAGGGTCAGCTCCTTATCTCTTTCACTTGGCAGGCTGCACCTCTTCAGGCAGAACCCCTGTTACTGGTCTGGTAACCCCAGGAGGGCCGCCTCCACTGTCCTGGCTCATCCCGACAAGATGCCCCACCCTGCCTCCCCCAGCTGCAGCCAGTCCACTCACTTGCTTGCAGGAGACCCACCTCCCAGCTCCCCAACACCCGCAGCAATTTTTTTTAGCATTATGGAATGTAAAGGTAACTTAGAGACCCTCCAAGTCCAAGATCCTCATTTTATCAGTCGGAAACCCGGGGCCCAGGGGGTTAAGTTAGCTAGCAAGGGCAGTGCCCAGGGAGGATGCTCAGCTGAGGGCTCCTTACACTAGACCGCGCTGTCGAAAGTGGCCTCCATCCCAGAGGACGGGCTAATCACAGGCCGGGCCTGGATGCTTTACCTGGGAATGAGAAGCTCCCTAATGCTCCAAGAATTTGCAGCGCGACCGGTCAAAGAACGCAGCCACATTGCAGAGGAGTGTGTTTATACCACCCTCTTGCCCTTCTCTCTGTTCCCCGTTTCGTGATGGGATCGGGTGAGGTCACTCCTCTGCCTGATGAAAATCTCGGCCCTCGCCAAGCTGCTGCTCTCTCTAAGCTCATTATCTGACTGGCTCATACTTTCCCAGGGGTTGCAGGGAGGAGGAAAGGTAATTAAGTGTTTTGCTTAAATGGCCTTTTCAGTTGACAGAAATAGCTGCCCAGAGATGTGGTGGCCTCTCCTTCCCGGTTCTCTCCCAGGGAAGGAACAATGACAGTGCAAAGGTCAAAGGGACCAAGGCTGCCGCCCTCCCCCCCATAATCCCGAAAGTGCATCACCGGCAGGCAGATAATGGAGAAGAGGAAAATAAGCCCAGGTCGGCCTTCTCCCCTCATTGAAGGAAAGCCTCCAATTCCTGTGTCCGCATGACCATGGGTGCCACGTGTGATCAGGCCCACAAGAACCGGGCTTTTTTCCTGCCTCGAACAGCCCTCTGTTGGACCAGCATCTTGTGTCTAAGTCTCTTTACAGCACAGAGTAGTCACTGCTCGGCATTAGAGAATGCGTTATTTTGGGAGAAACGATACTGCCCTATGGAGCCTTTGTAGGTGGGGGATGGGATAGGAGCCGCAGGCAAAGTACAAGGGTGCATCTCCCCCAGACTCCATGAATCGAGCCGTCAGTCAACAATGGCCTCAGACAAATGGGCAGAATACGCGCTCCCATGTAGAGAAGAATCTGGATGCCAAAGAGGTCATTACCAAAACATACAAGGAAAGAAAGAAAGGGAGGGTGGAAGCAGGCAAAAAAGAAAATAAAGTAAAAACGAGACTGTGACTTGCTGAGGTTGGAAACCACTGATAGGGCCACAAGGAGCTGCTTAACTCAGACCACAAAGAGTTAAGTCTTGGCTAGCAGCACCTACCGATAAGTCCCGGGCACATTCAGCATCATTGTGTTAAAGATAATAGCAGCCTTATTATAACAGAGAGCCCCATATACATTAGTGCCCACACAATGTCACCTGTCTGTGAATTCAGCAGAATTTTGTTCACAGAATAATATAGTTTTGCCATTGTCCCAGCTTAGAACTACACATTCATTAATAGAAACAGTATCTCTGGCATTTCTATGCAACGCTAAGTCCCAAAAAAGGTTCATTATGGAATGTGGCCCCACAGCCAGTGATGGCCGTCATTATGACAATGTGCATTAATATCAAAGGATCTGTGATTATTTTTACAGTTGTTCCTGGTATCATCAGTGATTCTCTAAATTGTGCACCTCTCTTGGTGTAATCAGGTGTCCTTGTAGCCTCTATCCATATGCAAAATTTCTTTGCAAGTTGTTAAAAATTGCAGAAGATATGCCTTATAGAATGTTTCTTAGCTGTCATTTTGTTTCAGATTGAACCTCGAATTGTAGTCAAGGTGACTTCACTGTCCTTTAGCGGTATTTGGCCTAAATCAAATCCATCAGGTGCTTCAAAATTTATCATTGGAATGAGTATACTGAAGACAAAATCTTTCCTCTTCTGTATATTGGGCTGGGATGGTTCGAGGTGGGCCACCGAAACTGGGGAAAGGAGAGACATTGATACGTACAAGAAAACTCAGTGGGGAAAAAATCTGACTTTGCCAAAATGGTGTTTATTACTATAGAGATTCCTAATCTTACCCACTTCCAGTTCTCCCTTCCTCTTGTAGGTGGGCGATGTGACAAGCTCTAGCCTGCGAAACAAAAATGGAAGTTGATGGTTGTTTCTGGGCCTAGTTATAGGAGAGTATGTGACACCTTGCCCTTTCTCCTCTTGTTCTGCAATGTCCTTGTAAAAGTTCGGCAAGCCGTATATTTCAGTGTGCTTTTCTGTGCATGCATTATGTGTTGATTAAAAAAACATAAAAATAAGAGGTGGTCCTGAGTAAATTTTACCCTCCATGGTGTCCTTCACTTCGAAAAATTCTGCCTTCTGGTGGCTCCTTTCACCAACATTCTTACTTTTGTTCACGGGATAATGAATAGAATACCTTCTCCCCAGGCCCAAGGACCAAAGGAGGGAGAAGATCAGAGTTTCAGGTGTTCAAGATTTATTGAGCAAGTGCCTACAGGACAAACTGGTGAGGGAGAGAGGGAGTGAAGCGTGGTGGTGGGGAGAGGAAAGAGCTGAGCAAGGCTGTTGTATCAGGAAAGTCCAGCTTTGGCCTGATTTGAAGGGAGCTCCAGAGCATAAACAGAGCTGCAGACTCATCAATCCCACATGATGCAAAAGATCCTGCCTTTCATACCCCCCTTTGCAGTCAGCCATTGCCTGTGGGCACCCCCCCCCATCCTGGAAGTCAGTGCAAATTTTCCTGACGAGGCTGTTCCCATCAGCAGAAGGAAATGTTTTAGAGAAGGGAACAACTGATACCTGTGAGCCACGGACACACAAAGCAGTGGGGCATTCCAGCCCAGGAGAGTGGATCCGAGCACAGGAGCACAGCTCCTATTACAGTCCACCCCTTTCACTATTCACTTTCACTTGTTCTCACAGCCAGTGCCCTCCATCCAGGCCTGTTTCTTCAGGATTCTGTGTCATAATTCCAAAGGAAACTTACAAGAGGATTGTTAGTGGGATGAGTTATAGCCCCCATGGCTGCAGCTGGTCCCAGGGCCATACTTCATCATCATTATTGCCCTGTTCTACCACCTATGGTTGATTCCCCTCACCCTTGGGTAGCACATCAGGGGTCCTAGGTGACTTTCATGCAGCATCTAAGTTCTTCGGACTATGCCCTAATCAGGCCATGTTTGCTCTACTTGCCCAATTGCAATTTAAACTGAGCCTGAAAGCACCAAGAGTCACCCCAGGAGAATCATCGAAATGCCAAACACATTGCCCCCAGTTTTCTGCATGTACCAGCAGTCCCTCATGATGTTCAGAATCAATTGTTCCTCCTTAAAATAAATTTTCCCTCGTCCAGTTGTCAATTGGCATAAGGAGACCATGTGACCAGAGGGCCCAGCTGTAGCTTTACATTTACCAGAATCCTTACTGTGTTTCTTCGTGTTAGCAGCCCCTCTAAAAATCAGGATGTCTAAAACTGTATGGGTAGAAAACACAAATTTCTCAAGTCAGACATGATGATGGAAATGCTGATGACCAAAGCCATGGCTATTTTCTGGAGCCATGATTTTTACCTCTTACGGATCCAGCATGTATAATAGCATTAGTCTTAAAAAGTCTCCTGCATCTTGAAATAGTGCCTTACTTACCACAGGGTGTCATATTCAAGCTGGTGATTCAGCTGCTTTGTTGAAAGCCTTTTCCACTATTCTATCAGGTTGGCAACTTCTGAATGGTGTGGTATGGGGTAGAATCAGTGATCCCATGGTCCTGTGCCCACTGCCT